TTAAAATATAGGTATAAATCGCATTACATGGAAAACATGCTCAAAGGTAACCATTGGATAGATAAAAACTATGGCATAATAGAGTTTACAGAGTCTGCATTTTTATTTAACTCTGTACACACGCTTTTAGGACCTGCTCTTAGTCATATTGAAGCCAGTTGCCCCTGCCTTCATACCTGCATAATCGAGGTACCCTTGAACATACCACTGCTGCGAACTTACGGTTCCCATGTCTCTGAAACTTCTAGTCTGGAGGTGAGCCTTTTAGGTGATGACTTGTTCACTGAGAAGCAGGTTTCAACTGGTTCGGATGAGCCCACAAAGGAATACGTCAAAGCGGAACAAGACTCTCAGCTACCATCAACGGTGGCCGCCGATTCCATCGTTGATGTGTATCGAGTCAAGTACATGCCTTCAAAAGTTGGCAAATCTTTCGGAAGGTAAGCCCGAGGCTGATGAATTAAGTAAGTGGGCCAGAGTACTCTGCTTAGAATATTTTAATAATAAAAGTAAGGAAAGTCTTTTAATTTCTACTTGTATGAATCTACTGAACAATCTTTTATTAACTGACTTCTGGCAAGAGTTCTTTTATTATTTCATCTTATGATTAAATTGCTGAAAAATCCAATCTACAGTTTACTCTCTGTTTCAGCATCATATTTTTTCATCCGATGGTCGGAGAATTTTGGGTGGAATTAAGATTGACTGGTCTACCACTCCCTCTTACGAAGTTGCCGAGTATGCAGTGTGAAATTGGCAGGTAATAAAATATGTATACATTTATGTCTATAATCTGAGTTATAATGTCTTAACTCAATAAATTTGTGTCCTTTTCTGAGCATGAAAATAGGAAACGTTTTATGCTTTTGAAACTATCAAAGGTATAAAAAAATTATATAGAATTGAGGCATTTTAAAAGCCTAATTTCTCTGCTATTTTTCAAACGTATGCCATTTAAGCGCATAATAACAGAGTTATTAGTATCCATATTATGATAGTAGGTAAATCGCAATCCAAAAATACTTAGTGCCAGTATTTTTGTGAAAGTTACGTTGGGATTTCTCAGCAGTAATTTTTTACAATTCTTACTTTTCTAATCTGACTAACACTAAAAAATCTAACTATTTGTATTAAATAAGTGTTATAGTTGCATAAAAGGATGAAGGGCTGAAGGATGCCATTACGCACAAAGGTACGAAAAGGCCATTGAATTTCATTCAGCCTTGCTTCCCAAAATGTTTTCTTATCCAAATTTGATTGCAGTCTCTACCTCGCCTGGGTCTTATCAGTATCCCCAACAGGAATCGAATCCAAGTAGTGCAAAGTATGTTTTTAACAAATTGCTACTGTGCCATATATCCACTGGTGCCACTGCGCAGAAG